GTGGCTGACTCTTAACTTTTATAAAGAATATCTCTTTGGATTTGAGACTTTAGTGTTTGCAACTTTACAGATCTTCTTTATGCACCAAGAGCTTGTAACACTCCAAAGAGAAAGGAAAAATTTAAATTGCATCATATGACCCCTTTAATAAGAAACAGCATCCAAAACCTATTTTACAAAATAAATATGATGCATTTCCAAGTGAAACAAATAAAGAAATTTAAGTAATATTCAACGAGAAAAGATGTAGGATGATTTATTATATTCATATAATATTTTAGTATTATTTATAATATACTGTTATAGTATTTATTAGTATTTTGAATTAGCTTGTATTTTCTTATTTTTTGTTTATTTAATTTAAATTTAGAATTATATAAAAAAATGTTTGTTACATTTATTTATAAACTAAATAGAAATTTAGTTTAAATTTTAGTAATTTTATAATGTGCTTTTTGCTATTTTTATTAGTTTTTAGTTTGTTTTTCATCAAATATTTATATTTTATTTCAGCTTTATTTTATTAAAATAAAGAAAACAATTTTAACAGTTTTAATTAACAGTAACAAGACTGCTAACTTTTAATACAAGATGAAGTAGTTTATGCATCAGGCTGCAGGTGGTCAGATGGGAGAAGTTGAAAAAGTAAGAGGTACTGGTGACTTCAGATGAGAAGGGAGGTTTTTTTAAGAGGCGGAGTGATTAAATCCCATTTCTCCTTGATGATATTCAGGAGCAGGTGGATCTGAAGCTGCGCGCCGGAGAGCTGAAACAGAAGGAGGAAGCGCTGCTGAGAGAGAGAGACAGTCTGGAGAAATTGAGACAGGAGCTGGAGAGTGAGAAAGAGCGACTGAGCGCCACAGCACTGAGACTCAAGACACGAGCGCAGGAGGTGGAGAGCTTCAGTAAGGTAAAACACTGCAGCAGATCTGTGTGTGGCGCTGATCATGTGACACTGATCATGTGACACTGAAGCGCTTCCTGTGTCACAGCTGGCGTCCGAGCGCTTTGAGGAGGGAGAGCGAGCGCTGAGAGAGTCCAGACAGGTGGAGGCCGAACATCAGACACGACTCCGCACCATCCACACACAGATAGACACGCACACATACACACACAGACACACACACAGACAGACACACAGTCACACACACACACACATACACACACAGACACACAGTCACACAGACACATACCGACACAGACAGACACACAGTCACACAGACACAGTCACACAGACACAGAAACACACAGACAGACACACACACAGACACACACACACACACACACACGCAGACAGACAGACACACACAACACAGAATTCGGGGAAAATTTAAATGAAATTTGGGAGGACAAATAAAGCATTTTGTGGGATCCTGTTCTTGTTAAAAAAAATTTTTAAATCTTGTTAAAATCTTGTCAAAAGTTTTGTGAAATTAACTGAATTTAAAGGGGTCCTATTATGCTCTTTTACAAAGTCTTGATTTTGTTTTGGGGGTGTACTAGAACAGGCTCTCATACTAGGTTGTTCGAAAAAGTGATTTCTGTTGAATAAAATATCTCCTTTTGAATTGGACTTTGAGCTTCGTAACTTTGTAGATCTTTTTTTCTGCTCAAACAGCAACATTACAGACTAACTAAAGCTGAAAAAGTGAAAAAGCATAATAGCACCCCTTTAATTAACCAATGAATCCAGAAAAATTTATGGAAAACACAGAATTTGGGGGGAAAAAATAAAACAGATGTCATAGAGCTTTATTATTGTTAAAGAGTTTAATAAATTATTTATTTGTTACATTTGAATGAATTTTAATTACAATTCATGCTTTTTGATGATTAACAATTAATGAACCTTTAAAAGAAATCCACAAAAAACAAAACTGGAAACCAAAGAATTTAGGACAATATAATTATGTTTTTATCAGATGATAAAAATGTATCATTCATTATCATTAATTAATCCAATAAATATTATTAATTACTCCAAATCAGAGTAGTATTTATAAAGGATGAGCACTGACCATCTCAGTTAGGGTAAAACATTACATTGAACAGATGAATTCATATTAAACACAACTAATAAAATTAGAAAACACCCTAATTTAGTCAAAACACTGATGAACAGCAACATATTTCACTATAAAAAAAAAAGAATAATTCGAACATTATTTGATTCAAAAATACTGTGCAAACAAACTGATTCATTAAGATGAACCAGACTTCCCAAAACTACACGCCGTCTGAGAGAGAAGATATGTTTGTGATTCTACACCACTATTACTGGTAAAGCTGCACTATAGTGACGTCACAGCACTGAATTATGTAGTTGTTATCTAGTTAGTGTAACTCTGCTCATGTGATCTGCAGGAGCGTCTGAGGATGACCGATCATCACAGAGACATAGAGCGACTGAGACACACTCTTCCCGTCCATCCGGTGACGTCAGCGCCCCTCATCGCAGGTAATCTGTTCATTCAGACTCACCGCAGGCGTTCAGTGTGTCAGACAGCGCATCATGTGTGTGTGTGTGTGTGTGTGTGTGTGTGTGTTTGTTAGATTTCTCTCCAGCGTTGGCCAGCACACACCTGCCCGCCGCTGTGAACCCGCTGCCCGCTGAGCTACATGCCCGCCTCGCCCTCATCAAACACACCGCTGAGAAGGTACCGCACATTCACTTCAGCTCACAAATTACCCAGCTTTCCCCAAGTGACAACACTTTCTGATGCTGGTGTCCATTAGAGAGCACTATAACCGTTCAACTGACCACTGCAGTAAACACTCCACATTAAAGAGGCTTATTATGGTATATACACTTGTGAATTAAACTAAAAATAAGTGCAAGTGTATATTATATACATGTATGTAACGATTACGTGAATTTTTCAATTATATAAACCAGAAAATCCTCATTTAAATGTGAATCCTGAACATAAAGCAACATTTCTGTTCAGTAAAAAAAAAAAATTGGCAAAAAAAAAATATTGCAATATGCAATAAATAAATAAATTAAAACAAAAATACTAATAAAATGACAAATCTGACACGTTTACCAAAATAAAAACAAAGCAACAGTTCAGTTCAGCAAAAACAGCCAAAAAAAAAAAATCCAAATATGCAATAAGTCGACAGGCAGACAGACAGATAGCAGATAGCATCATAATAACAAACCAGAACAATCTTCATATAAAAGCCAAAGTAAAACCAAGTTCCTGAACGACTCCATTGAAAAATCTAAGTAACACAAAAATAGTCCCCAAAAAGCAAATATTCCAATATGCTTAAAAAAAAAAATAAAAAAAAAAGTTCTGACTACATTTCCTATTAATATTGGAGCCAATAACCCATGTACATTGCATGGTATATAAACATTAAGTGCAATATAAGCTCAAGAGCATATTTACTTAATATCCTAATGATTTTTGGCATAAAAGAAAAATCGATAATTTTAACCCATACAATGTTTTTTTGGCTATTGCTACAAATATACCCCAGCGACTTAAGACTGCTTTTGTGCTCCAGGGTCACATATTCATATATGCAATGATTAAGTGAATAATTCCATGTATAAACAAACAAACAATAATTCTCATATATGCCAAAGAAATGCCAACAGTTCCTGAACAACTCCAGTCAAAAAATCTAAATAATGCAACAATTCAGTTCAGCAAAAAAACAAAAAATCCAATATGTCGATATTAATTCAATATTAAAATAAATAACTTAAAAAATAATAAAAATAAGATTGAAAGATCTGATCGCAGTTTTGAATGTCTCCAGTGAAAAATCTAAATAAGCAACAATTCAGTTCAGCAAGCACAGCCAAATAAATACATAAAAAGGAAAGATCTCACCATATTTCCCATCGATGTTGAAGCCAATAATCCTATGGTGTAAAAATCCAAAAGGCAAACAGTAGATCAGAAGATGATGCAGTCAATCCAGTTTAAATGCCGTTTACAATCCACTTCAACATAAAATGAAGTCAACTAGTGCAGGTGTAATGCCTATAAAACACTGAGCATCAAACAACCACAACAAACTTTCCACGAATTAAAAATGGCCGCCTTCAGTTCATCGGGGAATGACTGCAGACTGACGAGGCTCATCACACTCCCTAGTGGCTGGAGTGTGTAATTATCCTGAGACTCACAGCAGGTGATCTGATGAAATCCTGCCCTCTGCAGTCTGACATTAAATGGCACTGAGGAACGATATTGTTCGAATCACTTTTGAAATGATTTTTTCCAGCTGATGAATGATAAAAACATTGACAGCCGATCAGAATCCATCCTGCATTAAAAGCGTTAGACAACAAAACTTCAGCACGCTTAAAATAAACAGAACGTTATCGCTCTTTGGTGTAATGCTAATATAATTATCGTTCTTGGGGTGGATCGGCCTTAAAAGTCGAATAAACCGAATAAGATCGCATAGAGAATCGCACAAATACAGACTGTTGTAATAGACTGATTTAAGCCTAAGTTATGCTTTTTTCATACTTCAGTAATTGTGAGCCCATACAAAATGTGGTCTGCTCATTGGTCGCAGCTAGTCACCTGACTACCTCCGATATTGTCAAACAGAGCGTTGATTTCCAGTCTGTAGGACCATTATTTTCCATGGTACTTGTGTTACTTGTATTATTTTAGGATGTGGCCACGCCCACGACTCCTTCCAATCACGTGACTGATCTGAACCCAGTGCGAAATCTGCGTGAGAAATCTCACGCCCTTGCACCAAATTCACAGATTCCTATTGGAATGACTGGATTTCACCCGCAAAAAATCACCTAACAGTAAATGTGACCGCACTTTTACATATAATTCTTTAATAAGCTTTAAATAGCATTATATCATTATATTCTTACTATTCCTACAGTATAGCAGTGGGCACAGCATACAAATTGTCAGTTTGCGAGTTCGTTTGCCGAAATATGCAGAATACAGCAGAGCACACAACATGAAATACTGCCTATTTTTTTCTTTTCTTAAGATTTTTCTTTTAAATATTAAAAATATGAACAGAATGCAGTATGGGGCAAGACCCTTTTGGGGTAGGGGCGTGTTTGTTTTGGTGATTTCAAATATCAACATTGGCTACCAGAAATCACTTACTCTGCTTTTAACAGCTGACAAAATTGAAGCACAAAGCACCTTTGGAATATTTGTCATTGCAACAACTCAAATGAAAGACAAAAAAAAAAGATGGGCAGGGGTTATATTTAGGTTTTTCTTCCATTTGTGATTCAAGTCAGACTTTTTTTTTGGCCCCATTAGTAGAATTAGTAGTAGTTAAAATGTTTTTAATATATCTGACAAATGATCAGTGTATTAAAGTACCTCTAAAAATGCATGTAAAAATCCACAGTAATTATAGAGAGCTGCATAAACCACTAAAATCATTAGGAAGTCCTATAATACTTCAACAACTTCCTTTTGAGGTAATGCTTCACCGTTATTGCCTCAGAGCAACTATTTCCCTAAATCAGTGGTTCTCAAACATGAGGTACATGAGGTGACGGAGGGGGTATGCGAACAAAATTCTGAGTTTTGGCATTCATTTAATTCTACCCCAACTTAAAAGTAACATTAAAACCGAACATGTATTTCTGACAAGCAAAATGCTGCTTCTAATGTAAAAACAGGAAAATGGGAGTGCCATAAATAGTCAAATACATGATATCCAATCAGCTTACCTCATCTTTTGCGGTCAAAACTGACTGCATCCACACAAGCAGCGTGCATGTGATAGGATGCCCGCTGAATATGCTGCTTTAGCAAATCGCGCTGCTGTTCAATGTATCTTTAAAGTAGATCTTCACTTAAAGGGATAGTTCACCCAAAAATGAAAATGTGATGTTTATCTGCTTACCCCCAGGGCATCCAAGATGTAGGTGACTTAGTTTCTCCAGTAGAACACAAACAGAGATTTTTAACTCAAACCGTTGCAGTCTGTCAGTCATATAATGTAAGTGAATGAAATCACGGCTTTGAGAGTCAAAAAACATACACAAACAAAACCAAATTAAACCCTGCGGCTCGTGACGATACATTGATGTGTAAAGACACGAAACAATCGGTCTGTGCAAGAAACTGCACAGTATTTATATCGTTTTTTACCTCTGATTTTCACCGAACTGTTCGGAGCGCATTCTCAAGCATCTCTGAGCGTCTTCTTCTTCTTGCTTTACGGCAGATCGCAGACTTATAAGTGCATTACCGCCACCTATCTCTCAAATGGACCATTGACACTCCTAATTGAGATTGTAGATAGTGTCAATGGTCCATTTGAGAGATAGGTGGCGGTAATGCACTTATAAGTCTGCGATCTGCCGTAAAGCAAGAAGACGCGTCACGCGCCGGCTGAAGAAGACAACGAGAACGCGCTCAGGACACAGAGTTCGGACATTGCGGTGAAAAGAAGAGGTAAAAAAACGATATACTGTTCAGTTTTTTGCACAGACTGATCGTTTCGTGTCTTTACACAATGTATCGTCACGAGCCGCAGGGTTTATTTTGGTTTTGTTTGTGTTTTTTTTACTCTCAAAGCCGTGATTCCCATCCACTTACATTATAAGACTGACAGACTGCAACGGTTTGAGATAAAAATCTCTGTTTGTGTTCTACTGAAGAAACAAAGTCACCTACATCTTGGTAAGCAGATAAACATCAAATTTTCATTTTTGGGTGAACTATCCCTTTATATGGCATGAAGAGCAAATATTGACAGACTGTACATTGAGATCGATATAAACTCTCTTCGATAACGGTCACATACCCTGTGCGAGTTATTGTTTTCATGTTTCTCATTTAAAAATGAGCAAGAATGCAAATTTCCCTGATTATCCAAACGATGGCAAATGTGACATTAATTTTTACAACGGTTCAACAAAAAAAAAAAGGTAATATTAAGTGAACAGATTACATTTTAAACAGAATATTGTCATGTGTTATATTTTGCAACGAAATCCGTATCATCTGGTGTGAGTCTCCAAGCAACATACAGCGGTGTTTCATTAGTGAACGAATATGCAGCTTTGAACGATTCATAGAGTCAGTGATCAATAACCCATTCATAACTACAGCATTTTGCTTCGTTACTGCACGACGCGACGCCTGGCTCATTAAGACAGTGACTTGCCGCCACCTATTGGCGGTTTTATTTTTAAGTCTACAAGCAGGCTATCACTTCGATTTGACATTTATTGCTTTACTTTAATACACTTAATGGAATGTTAAGAATTACATAAAACATAACATACAAAGGATAGACAATCTTTGCCTCTAAGGTAGAAAAAAAAAATGCACCTGTAAATCAATTTAATAGAAAAAGTAACTGCGGTCTAAGTGGAAGAGAGGGGGTACGCAGAAGATTGTTAAATGCCCCAGGGGGTACGCCGCTGTAAAAAGTTTGAGAATCACTGCCCTAAATAGGCAACATCCCAACCGTACGAATGGTTTCTGCTCATTTCTCTAACAGGACAGAGACTTCCTGCAGGAGGAGCAGTACTTCCTGGACACGCTGAAGAAAACCTCATACAACTCTGTCTTCAACACATGACCACACAGAGACGGGAATCATTTTGATACGTTTTATTTAATAAACATTGTAAAAAGACACTTTATGATCTGACGTCAATCTCCAGCATTCATCATGGTCACTGTGGAGCATTTCTGCAAAAAGTAAAAATGAGTCACTTCAGTTTAAAAAAAATAATTTTATAAGTGCAAATATTGATTATGAAACAAGCCTCAGAATACCAAAACTCCACACGTGTTTTTCAGACAGGGATAACTTCTCTCATCACAGGCTTGAATCAATAAAATGTCTAAACTGATCTTGGGTCAGATTGTTCCTTTATATGACACTATTCTGACCTAAACAGATCTAAATTACACCATTTAAGACTGAATTTATAGTAAAACACAATATATACGTACAGCTCTCCATCCAGGTGAATCAGGAGACTTCATGGTGGTTTGCGGCACTCGATCTCTACAGAGAAAACATGCATCAGATAGGTTTAGACAAAGGTCAAAGACCAAAGGGGGAGAGAGAGAGATTTACCAGATCAGTGCTGAAGCAGCGTTCAGAAGCAGATGCTGACCTGTGGAGAAGAAACATGTGATCAGACACCTGCGGTCTCCAGAACAGTGAAACATCTCGCATCTGCAGGTTGTGTCTCAGGCTGATTTTGCTTTGCCATCGTCAGTTATCGCATCAGACGGCACTTCCTATATAGCAGCTTCATCACAGAACACAACTCCACGATCAATACCTCAAACAAAATCTTTCCTGCAGGTACGGAAAAACACTCGGAAATTTCCTAGATCAATTAAGCAATAAACTACATATAAATATAGAAAAACGCAATATAAATGCAGTAATAACACTAAAAATACAAAAAAGTATTTTGTAAAGCCCACCATTTCTGTGAACTGCGCGTAAGGATCACACAGTAAACCATCCAGCAGATAATCACGATCTAGGCACATTCTATCCAACCTGCAGAAAGACAAAGGAGAACGCGTTAACAATGACCGCCATGTGCTTACAGTAAGTCCGAGAATAATTAAAGCAGCTTTAATCATCAGTCTTACATTTATCACGGTGGTCTGGAAGCGCTGCGATCGGCTCCTCGCGTATAATTCGTTATGCACATGTTTTAATCTCGTTAAACTCGTTTATGTATCAGAAGAAGTGCGAACATCCACGTGTCGCGCAGGGAAAGAGAGCGAGGCGCAGCGAGCGGCCGCTTTTATAGCGCTGGAACGTCACGACCCACGTGACTAGGGGTGTGTTCCATTCGGTAGCGATCATCCCTGCGCCCTATTCCCTTCGAAGTTGAGTTTTGGAGGGTTGAAAGGTGTAGCGTTCGAAATAACGGTCATTCGGAACTCACATATTAATGCACGTGTATTGAATTCTGTTTGGAAGGATCCTACAGCGTATCTATCATTAATGTTTCCGCTTCAAGTGCCCTAGGAAGGCAGCTTTCATGAGTTTGGCGCACTGGAAATGTCATGTGGAAACCGTAAGGCGCGCTGCCTGGGAAAGTGAAGCGTTTTACAAAATAAAAGGTAATAAAATTATTAATTGAACATAAAAAAAAAAACATAAAAATCACATTATTGCTACTTAATTGTAATTATAATTTTAAGTATGTAATCGTATAATTGTGAAAAAATGTGATTTATTTATCCCCTGCACAATTTAACATGTTTTTGCCCCCTATTTAGATTTACAAAATAAAGGTCATTAAAACAAATGAACAGACAAAATAATGAAAGTCACATAACTACTGCAATTTCTATCTATCTATCTATCTATCTATCTATCGAGAACTGGGTAGATTACAAATTGTAGTCCGTTACTGATTCCAAATCACATGACCAAAAATGTAGTTAGTAACGTAATCCATTACATTACACATTTTAGGTGATATAATGACACTACTTTTTGATTACTTTTAGATTAATTTTGACCTTACTCGTTTATCACATTGATTTAAATAGGATAATCGTGTAGCATATTGATATAAAAATGCAAAGAAAAAGAAAATATATTCCATTCGTTGTTATTAACAACATAAAGTGCATTAAACATTAGGCTACATTACATCAAAGTTTCCCAAACTGGGGGTTGTGAAGGAACTGCAGGAGGCTTGTGAGTTTAATGAAAAGCTAACAATTAGCCTAATTCAATCATAAAAACTGGGTATATACAGGAATCATGGAGTTAAATTTAATACCTTTTAAGACCTTTTTTAA